CCCGGCTAATTTTTTTGATTTATTGTAGAGATGAGGGCTCGCCAAGTTGGCCAGGCGGGTCTCGAACCCTCGGGCTCAGGCAATCCACTCACCTCAGCCTCCCAAGGTGCGGGATTACAGACTGAGCCACCGAGCCCGGCTAGATGTTGCATTTTTTTTTTTGAGTTGGAGTCTCACTCTGTCGGCCAGACTGGAGTGCAGTGGCTGCTCCCGGTCAGCGCAGCCTCGACCTGCTGGGCTGCGGCGATCCTTCCGCCTCAGCCTTCCGAGTAGCCGGAATTACAGGCGCGCGCTACCACACCCGGCTGATTTTTTGATTTATTGCAGAGATGAGATCTCACTGCCCAGGCGGGTCTCGAACCCGCGGGCTCAGGCAATCCACTCACCTCAGCCTCCCAAAGGCGCGGGATTACAGGCTGAGCCACTGAGCCCGGCTTTTTTTTTTTTTATTGTAGAGATGAGGTCTCGCTGCCCAGGTGGGTCTCGAACCCGCCAGCTCAGGCAATCCACTTACCTCAGCCTCCCAAAGGCGCGGGATTACAGGCTGAGCCAATGAGCCCAGCTAGATGTTGCATTTTTATACCACCTACAGGAGGCGGCTTTTTTTGTGTGTGAAGGAGTCTCATTACAGGTTGGAGCGCAGTGTCAGGATCACAGCTTACTGTAACCTGGACCTTCTAGCCTCAGGTGATCCTTCCACCTCAGCCTCCCGATTGACTGGAACTACAGGCACGGACCATCATATCCAGCTAATTTTTTTTCTTTGTAGAGAGGTCTTACCTAGGTGGGTCTTGAACTTCTGGGTTCAGGCAAGCCTCTCTCCTTGGTCTCCTAAAGCAAGTGACTTTTAAGTAGCAGTTAGATGCCAGACTGATGCTGCCTCAGTAAAGATTCAGAAAGGAGTCGGAAAAGAAGAAATAAAGAACTAAACTGTGTGAAATACCAACCACATGCAAAGACTTGTGCTGATTGCTTCACATAAAATGCTTCACATTTTATCTCATTTAAACAGGAAATCTTGATGAGTTCTTACCAACTCAAGTATATTAAAAAAAACCCAAACAGACAAGATAGGTTGGGTACAGTGGCTCAAGCCTGTAATACCAGCATTTGGGGAGACCAAGGTGAAGAGACTGCCTGAGCCCATGGGTTCAAGAACAGCCTGGGCAACTTGGTGAGACCTCATCTCTACAATAAATCAAAAAATTAGCCACTGTGGTGGTGTGTGCCTGTAGTTCTGGCTACTTGGAAGGCCGAGGCAGAAGGATTGACGCTGGGGTGGCCGGGAGTGTGCCACTGCACTCTAGTCTGGACGATGGTGAGACTTCAACTCAAAAAAATAAATAAAATAAAAAATAAACAGGAATTCTTTGGGATACAATTATTCACATTTGAAAGACTGTGAATTGAGAATCACAGAGGTACTAAATGGTAGAATGGGAATTTAAGTTTAAATTTATAAGCTGCCTGCTATCAGACATAGATCATTGCTGTCTTCCTCCTTCTCATCAGAGAAATGAGCATTAAAGCGCTCTGACCACAGTGCTAGGCACTATTCTAAGACCCTAACATTTAAATCTCATTATTAGAACTCCCCCCATCTTATATCCCTGAATCACAGAGAGGTTAAGCTGGCCAAGATCACACAGCCAGCAAGCTTGAGACATTGAACTGTCATCTCACCTGCCTTATCCCCAGCCTCCAGGTAGTGACACAGTTAACCCATATTGGACAGAGCTGTCCCAGACCAGATATTATTGTAAGTTATACTCAGGAACCATAAGGAAAATGATGACAGAATAATAGTTCCAAAGAAAAGAAAGAAAGAAAAAAACAATGAGAGAATACTTGCTTTTTTTTCTTCAGTAGAGTTTTTAAATGTTTATCTTGTTGGAGGAATATGGTTTGTTTCAGCAACTTGGAAAACAAAATGAGAAAAAAAAATCACCAAAGATTCTATCACTATGGTTATTTTTCTGTATTTTCTTCCATTTTCCTCCAGTATCTGTTTATATAATTGAAACAATTCTGATTTTTCACTCATTTTTAAATATAGGTTTTCCTATGCCGTGTAGTTTTTTCCATGACAGCTACTTTTTAACCGTTTGGTTGATATTCCCTTATGAGTGAGTACCTTGTATCCTCTCTGAGTGTTTTCCATTGTTTGGTGCTGGGCTTCTATACCACCCTTCTTTCTTTTCAAGGATTCTAGACATCCTTCTTCTTACTAGGTAGTTCTTAGTAACAGTTGTTGAAGTATGTGCTGGGGGTAGAGAGGAGAGGAAGTTTTTCAAGGCTGGTGAAGTGTTTTTCACCACCAGGCTTCTACCCTTGCTAAATTGCAGAATGAAGATCGTATCCCATGAGCTAATTAAACATCTCCTATACAACCTCATAATATCAGATTTGGAGGTTTTTCTGTGGAAATTAAATTCAAAAGAAACGGTGAGAGGCTGGGCTCGGTGGCTCAGTCTGTAATCCCAGCACTTTGGGAGGCCGAGGTGAGTGGATTGACTGAACCTGCGGGTTTGAGACCCACCCAGGCAACTTGATGAGACCTTGTCTCTACCATAACATAAAAAAATAAAACTAAAAAATTAGCCGGGTGTTGTAGCACATGCTTGTTGTTTCAGCTATTGGAGGGCAGAGGTAGAAGGATCCCTGGAGCCCAGCAGGTCGACGCTGGGGTGGCCATGAGCGTGCCGCTGCACTCCAACCTGGGCAACAGAGACTCCAACTCGAAAAAAAAAAAAAAAGTTGTGAGAGACTTGGATATTCTGACCTGCCTGTCTCTCTGTGAATAGAGAAGGTTTGTTCTTCTGAAATCTGCGTGCAAAGAAACAGGACAAGTTTTTATCTACTTTTCATTTCTAAGTGCACGGTATGGCCTTAAGACACAAGAACTAGGGTTCCATCATTCTCACCTGTCCTACTCAGCACATTCCTGAACATTTCTGAACCTGGTTTGTCTCAGCTCCATAAAAAGAGATAGGTTTGGGGGTTAAATGGGTTGGAGTCCTGGCTCCTCCACTTAGCACCGTGGCCTCAACTTTCCTATGTGAAAAACGGAGATAACAGTACAAAACTAAAAATAGTTATTATCAAGTGTCTACTATATGCCTGGAACAATGTGAAGGTTTTTATATGCATTTTCTCATTTAACTTTTGTGACAAGCATATGGCACAACTGATTGTTGACAGTGAAGGTTCAGAGAAGTTAAGTTTCTTAACTGTCAGTAGCAGAGCTGGGACACCCCCCTGGCAGCTGATTCTGAAGCCTATTCGAACCTTAATAAACTCTGCTGCTTTTTGGAGGGTTATGTAAAGAAAAATATCTGTCAAGGGCTGGGTGTTGCTTTTATGTTAACAGACATAAAACCTGGCTATACCTTCTCTCAAAGTTAAAATCTATTTGGTTAACAGCTTCTTAGGGACAGAATGATTTGAGTTTGTGTAATTGGTACTTATTAGCCACGTGATTCCTTGTTTGGGCAGGTTATCCCACGCAGAGAGCCAGGTACCAATGGGTGCGCTGCAGTCCCGACAGTAATTCTGCAAACTGCATTGATGAAAAGGGACCCATGTTCGAACTTCTTCCTGGTGAATCCAACAAGATCCTCCGTCCACAGACTGACCCTTTCTCGTAAGTGAAATTTTCTCTGATTTTAAAGTGGTTGTAATTTCACAACCTCTGTTGAAATCTTGGCACAGAGGTGGGAGGACTATCCAGAGTGTTTTTCTTCAAGTCCCTGCTTTCACGGTTTGATTTTTATTGTGCAGTACATGGTAAAACTGTACTGTACATAGTGGCATGTGAGATGTGCAAGTATACGTGATTCATTCATGTGTTTGCAAGGTTTTTTCTTCTGTGGGCAGCAGAGATGATCATTGAGTACTTTTCACTAACAGGTATGGACAATAATTTAACATTGTTTTGTTTATTTATTTGTTTATTTATTTATTTATTTAGGGTCGGGTCTCTGTTGCTAGGCTAGAGTGCAGTGGCATACTCACAGCTCACCACAGCCTCCACTTCCTGGGCTCAAGTGATCCTTCCACCTCAGCCTCCCAAGTAGCTGGGACTATGAGTGCACATCACCACACTTGGCTAATTTTAAAAAAATTTTTGTAGAGATGAGGTCTTACTATGTTGAGTAGACTGGTCTTGAACTTCTGGGCTCAAGTAATTCTCCTGCCTTGGCCTCCCAAAGTGCTGGCTTTGCAGGTGTGGGCCACCACATCCGGCCAACATTGTTTTATTTATGTAAACAGAACATATTATACATTAAAATTCAGTAGTCAACTGAATGGATAAACAAAATGTGGTATATCCATACAAAGGAATATTATCCAACCATAAAAAGAACAAAGCACCGATAAATGCTGCAACATAGCATAACCTTGAGAAAATTATGTGCAGTGAAAGAAGTCAGAAACAAAAAGCCATATATTGTATGATTCCGTTTATATGAAATATCCAAATTAGGCAAATTCCTAGAAATAGAAAGGATATTAGTGATTCCCAGGGGTTTCTGGGGAGAAGTGGTGTTAAAAATGTTCTGAAATTAGATATTAATGATTAAAAAAAGAAATTAGGGAAAGAAGAATAATTGACCATGACCTAAACAAAAATCAAACCTCTTCTTTATCAAATAAAACCTGTTTTAAACTTGCAAAAAAGACCCAGTATAAACGCATAAGTCGCAAACAATTGAATTATATTAGAATCCATTATTCTTTCTTTCTTTTTCTTTTTCTTTTTTTTTTGAGTTGGAGTCTCACTCTGTCACCCAGACTGGAGTGCAGTGGCTGCTCCCGGCCACCGCAGCCTTGACCTGCTGGACTCCAGCGATCCTCAGCCTTCTGTAGCTAGAACTATAAGCACATGCTACCATACCCGGCTAATTTCTTTTTTTGTTGTTGTTGAGTTGGAGTCTCACTCTGTCACCCAGACTGGAGTGCAGGGGCACACTCCCGGCCACCGCAGCCTCGACCTGCTGGGCTCCGGCGATCCTTCCCCCTCAGCCTTCCAAGTAGCTGGAACTACAGGCGCATGCTACCACGCCTGGCTAATTTTTTGATTTATTGTAGAGATGAGGTCTCGCCAAGTTGCCCAGGTGGGGCTCGAACCCGCAGGTTCAGGCAATCCACTCGCCTCAGCCCCCCAAAGCGTGGGATTACAGGCTGAGCCACCGAGCCCAGCTAGTTTTTCTTTTTTGAGTAGGAGTCTCACTCTGTCACCCAGACTGGAGTGTAGTGGCATGCTCACGGCCAACACAGCCTCGACCGGCTGTGCTCAGGTGATCCTTTCGCCTTAACCTTCCAAGTAGCTGGAATTGTAGGCCTGCACCACCATGCCTGGCTAATTTTTTTATTTATCATAGAGAGGAGGTCTTGCTATGTTGCCCAGGCTGGTCTTGAGCCCATGGGCTCTGGCAGTCTTCTCTCCTCTGCTTCCCAAAGTGCTGGGATTACAGGTGTGAGCCACCATGCCTGGCAGAATCCATTATTTCAATTAATACCAAAGTTACACAGCATGTAGCAAAAATATATTAAGAAAGGGGCTATCATAAATTAAGTTTAAATCTTCACACTCAAACCTGGAAAATCACTCTCCTCAAAGCCAGGTAAATCATCATGTCCCAAACTAGGTAAACGCCTCCTCCCTGTGGGGATCTGGTGACTTTCTTCATCACTGGTATTCACTTCATTTTTTTTTTTGCTTGTTTGTTTGTTCTTTTTGAGTTGGAGTCTCACTTGGTCGCCCAGACTGGAGTGCAGTGGCTGCTCCCGGCCACCGCAGCCTCGACCTGCTGGGCTCCGGCGATCCTTCCGCCTCAGCCATCCAAGTAGCCAGAATTACAGGCATACGCTACCACGCCCGGCTGATTTTTTGATTTATTGTAGAGATGAGGTCTCGCTGCCCAGGCGGGTCTCGAACCCACGGGCTCAGGCAATCCATTCACCTCAGCCTCCCAAAGGCGCGGTATTATAGGCTGAGCCACCGAGCCCGGCTGGTATTCACTTCATTAGAGATTATGTCATCACAATTCTCAAAATGTAGCTTTGCAGTCCTACGCCTGTGATCTTACTTTATGCCCACTGCATTTAGGTTTTAAATGCAGTGTTGGGCACAGTGGCTCACGCCTGCAATCCCAGCACTTTGAGAGACAGAGGCAAGAGGATTGCCTGAGTCTAGGGGTCCAAGATCAGCCTGGGCAACTTGGCAAGACCTTTTCTCTACAATAAATCAAAAAATTAGCTGGGCGTGGTGGTGTGTACCTGTGGTTCCAGCTACTTGGAAGGCTGAGGCAGAAGGATTGCCTGAGCCCAGCAGATCAAGTCTGTGGAAGCTGTGATCGTGCTGCTGCACGCCAACCTGGTCAACAGAGTCTAGTACTTTAAGTCATGGATTTCAGTAGTATTTCATTCAAATCTAAAATGTTGGGGGAATAACGCAAATTCTCCAGAACAGCTTTCACGCCATTTCTTCTCTCCTTGCATCTCTCCTCTTTTCCCTCCCCAGAACTGTACCTTTGCCTCTCACTCTGACACTCTGCTTTCCTTCCCATCAGCAGGGATGAATGGTCCCTGCTTCATACTGTTCCTGGGCCCTTTTACCCTCAGATCCATACCTTGTCCTTCCCCTCCCTGCTCTGTATTGGAGTGGGGAACTGACCCCTCAAGTCTGCATTTCTCAGGCTCCTGGGTCCATGGCTGACTTTGACCCAGGGGAGGCACGGAAGGGAGATTGGAGAGCTTGGGAGGAAGGGAGAGACCAGCATGTTTCTTCTCACTCCCTGCCCTAAGCGACATCTCTGGCAGGACTGTGCCTCGTCCATATCTTCAGCTCCCACCAGATGCCCCTATTCCCTGGGCTCAGGTAACACAACCTCCTTCCACCATCCCTCTAGCCCAGGAAGGGAAGTCTATTCTTGCTGTTGTTAATATCTGGGTTACCCCCACCTGGCTTCACTTCTCCTCCATCACATGTAAGAGGAATCTCCTCTGTGCTAATTATTTGGAGACATTTCCCAACTGGACCCTGGCGGTTGCAGCATCTAAGGCCATCTCTCTTTGTGGCTGGCATCTTATCCTCATGCGCCTTCTCCAGGACTTTAATTCTGCCATGACCTCTCTGAGTCCAGCGTCTTCTTACCATCAGTGCACAGTCATACAGTACCCCCGATGTTTAGGTAAAAACCCTCCTTTGACTCTGTATGCTGCCTCCAGCTGCTGCTCCTTCTCTGTTCCTCTTCACAGTGACACTTTCTGAAAGGGTCTCCTGTGCTGGATATCTGCTGCTTCCCCTCCTCATCCCCCTATGGTTGGACTTCTGTTTCTGTGGCTTACCCAGAGTGCTTGTTAAGGTCATGATTACTCCTGGTTAACATGTCCACTGATTACTTCTCCATTTTCAGCTTACTTGACCTCTTAATTTTCTTCAAACGCAGTTGATGGGCCGGGCTCGGTGGCTCAACCTGCAATCCCAGCACTCTGGGAGGCTGAGGTGAATGGATTGCCTGACCCTACAGGTTCAAGACCTCATCTCTACAATAAATAAAAAATTAGCTGGGCATGGTAGCATGTGCCTGTAGTTCTGGCTACTTGGAAGCCTGAGGCAGGAGAATCGCCAGAGCCCAGCAGGTCAACGCTGGGGTGGGCATGAGTGTGCCGCTGCATTCCAGCCTGGGCGATGGAGTGAGACTCCAACTCCACCCCCCCCTGCAAAAAAAAAGCAGTTGATGACTGGGCATGGTGGTGCGGTCCTGTAATCCTAGCACTTTGGGAGACTAAGGCGGAAGTATCACTGAACCCAGGAGTTTGAGACTAGCCTAAATAACATAGCAAGACCTTGACTCTACAAAAAAATTTAAAAATTATCTGGGCATGGTTGCACTCACCTGTAGTTCCAGCTACTTGGGAGCGACTACCTGAGTTGTGATTGTGCCACAATACTCCAGTCTGGGTAACAGAGTGAGACTCCAAATCAAAACAAAACAAAACAAAAACCAGAAAGCAGTTGACCTCTCTCCCTTCTTTTTTTTCCTTTTTATTTTAAAGATGTGGGGGTACAATTCAGAGTTAGGTATACAAATGTTCATTTTGCATGTACCCTTGTTGATGAGGTTGGTTATCCTCCCCCACCCCACCAGATTACCACTCTGCTAATAATCCTGCCCCTGTCCTCCCCTGGCAGTTTTCCCTCCTTTGAAATGCTTTCTTCTCTGGGCTTCTATGACCCCACATTATCCTGAGTTTCCTCCGATTTCTCTGCCTGTTCTTTCTCCTCTGGTCAATATTTAATATGCTGATGCGGCCTGGCCCAGTCTTGGGCCCCATTCTCTATCTACATGTTTTCTTTAGGTGACCTTTGTCAGTTCCACGACTTTAACTACCAAATTTGTATTTCAGCTCTGACATCCTAAGCTAAAGCAGTCACTGGTCAGTCTCTATTACATTAGTCTATTTCATTTCTCTGTCCCATCTATGATTTTCTTAATTTATTGATTCACTTTTTATTGTCTGTCTTTCCCACAAAGTTATACACGTCTTGAGCAGGGACTTCATCTGTCTGTCCCAATCCATGCCAGGCTTTCACAGCAGGGAGCAGATGTTCAACAAACATTTATTGAATGCATACATACCAAAAACTCTAATCGGTTGTATCGACTGTGGTTTGCTATTTGCATGGAGAAAATAACCTGTAGGCTGTGACACTCAACTTTTTTTTGGAAAGCAGGATTTATTGAGAGGATAGAAAAGCTCACAGCGGGAGGGGACCCGAGGGGATTGCCTGACAGACACTCAATTTTTATCTTCGATGTTGTATTGCCCTATTCTGCCATCGAGGGCTGGCACCATTGCTCTGATCATTTGATGCTCATTGAACTTTTAGCTACCACACTCAACCCAGAAAGTAGGCTCACCTTTCAGCACTCTTCAGCTGAATGAATGCAGGCTGAGGGCAGGGTAATTTTTGGATCTATTTTTTGGAAGGAAGTTGAATGTTAGTATTCTGGTATATATAATGCTTAACTTGTTACAAAGGATTTCTCTAAATTGAACTGTATTGAAGCACTGTAAATTATTAGAAGTTTTGTGGAGATTTTAATTTAGGAAGAAAAAAATGTGTGTCCGAGATGACTTAGTTGCTTTTCCTTTCTTTAGGGAGAGAGTGGAAAAGAGGCCTTTTTCTAAAAAATGAGTCTTTAAGTAAATTTCATATACAGGATTGCTATGCTGGCAATAAGGAAATTAACGCTGTTTATATGAGTCTGCAATGAGTAGGCATGGAATTGATCAGTGCAATGAGTTAGATACAATAAGCATAGGTAAACATTTTTTTTAAAGCATTAAATAATTGGGAAGCTGTAAAAAAATAATAATTGGAAAACTTTTAACTCTTTTAATTTGAATAACTGGGCAGCTGCATTTATTTCCTTATTTTAAAAAGACATAATTATTTTCCCCATATGTTAAATTTTATTGTTTTTATTTTCTACTTCAGGATGACAAGATTCCAGAACTTGAACGATATTTTCCCCCTTTCTGAGGACTATTCTGGATCAGGCTCTGGCTCCGGCTCTGGCTCTGGATCAGGATCCGGAAGTGGCTTCCTAACTGAGATGGAACAGGAATACCAACCAGTCGATCAAAGTGATGCTGTCTATGAGAGCTTTAGGTCTTTTGACAGGAATCAGCCCTCAGACAAGCAGGACTTGGGTCAAGATGCATCAGAAGAGGATCTTATTATATAAAAGAGAGGGTTTCCCCACCTTGACACCAGGCAATGTATTCAGTATATTTTGTGTACCGTGGTTAAATGATTAATCTTGGAAAAAAGAGTTTTATAAAAATTTTAAAACATCTGAAAAAGAAACTTAAGTTTCATCACCTTTTTTTCCTCATGAATTCTTGAAGGATTATGCTTTAATGCTGTTATGTATCTTATTGTTCTGGAAATACCTGCATTTTTTTTACATCATATTCAACCAATATCACTATGAAATTGGATTGCCATGTCTATAAAATTGCTTTAAAGAATAAATCATGCTGTTTTAAAAAATTCAGTTAAGAAGTACGTTGATAGGCAATATTTACCTAAGTCTTCAGGAACGTGACTCTGATTATGAATTATAGATATGCCCCTTTTCTCCTATCCAAGGCATGGCCCTGTTTAGCTTCTGAGATCAAACAAGATTGGGCACGTTCAGGGTGGTATCACCGCAGATAATATGCCCCTTTTCTTACAAAAACAAAACAAAAACCAAGGAGAAACAGTGAATTTGGAGAGTGGGTATTTGTCATGTGTGAAGTGTGCTATACTGTCACCATTGGATGTGTCTGCAGAGCTGGTGGACATTGTTTATCTAGAAGTATGATTGCTGTTACAATTAGAAAGTTAAGGTCCCAATAAAAGCACAGCTGTGCTCTCAATACCTCATGCTGCTTTACCTTTATTTCCTGGATATCTGTGTATTTTCAAATGTTACTCTATTAAAGCAGAAATATAACCAAAAGGTTAAGTTGTCTGGGATCTCTTGTTCTAAAGTCAAGCAATAATTTTTTTGTTTGTTTTTTTGGCCAGACATTTCTCTAGAGGTTTTATCAACAAAGTGTCTTTAAAATTATTCTACAGTGCGTGCAAATTTTATAACCAGAATCAAGTCATACTAGCTAGCACATAAAGAAAGCAATCTTGCTTTAGCAACAGGGTTGTATTTGTCAAAGCAATTCCTCACCTGAAGGACAATCCCATCTCTGTTCTCCTTAGTTTTGAAAAGCCTGTCAGCATCACTGTCATGGATTCTGTTTTGCACTATCCAGATATGCAGAACTGAGAGTTTACTCAAACTAATCTCTGCTGAAGACAGCCACTTTGCCTAAGATCACGCCCCCTTGCAGGGCAGCCTGCGTCCAGTGACTGACTGGTGTGGGCGTATATAAAGGCCGGATGCCTCTCCTGAACTCAGAAAGGCCATCACAGATTCAGAACTCCCTGTGGGGAGAGCTAAGGCATTGCTGGGACTACTTTTCAGTTCAATTTCTTTCTTTATGCAGTTTTGCTTCCCTTCATTTCCCTAAGAGAGCTCTCTTAGAGATTTTCTTCTAGTTTCCATCCCAGAATTTGTTTCTTGAAGAATACACCATATGACAGTTGATGCCAGGAGGAAATGTGTGCTAAGATGGGATTTTGAAGTTAGATTGCCCACCGCCTGGCTGGCAAAGAGAACCCCATCCCTGGCTGTACAGGAAGTACAGGCACAAAATGGCAGTGCAATTGTGAAAACTTTCATTGGTGATGAAGTCGGATGCTATATCGTTGGAAGGGAGTGAACTATACTAGACATATGAGAAATATAAGGACAATGATACTGGATGGCTATTGCTGGAATTAATTAATGAAAAAGACATTGAAAGTCCCAGGATATAATCGTTAAATGCTAAATGTGAAAACCTATGGGTCTCCTTGCGGCATATTACACTCCTCTTCTGCAGAAGGGCTGAAAGAGCTGAGGAACAGTCCCAGGTCTTACTCATAAGAATAACAGAATTCCAGCCAGGTACAGTGGCTCACACACCTGTGATTCTAGCACTTTGGGAGGCTCAGGTGGGAGGATCACTTGAGTCCAGGAGTTTGAGGCCAGCATAGGCAACAAAGCGAGATACTGTCTCTACAAAAAATAGAAAAATTAGGCAGGCGTGGTGGTGTATGCCTGTAGTCCCACTTGGTCAAGAGGTTGAGGAGGGAGGATCACTTGAGTCCAGGAGGTCGAGGCTGTGGTGAGCCATGATAGTGCCACTACACTTCAACCACTCCAGCCTAGGCAACAGAGCAAAATCCTGTCTCAAAATAATCATAATCATGATCATAATCATAATAGCAGAGTTCCAAGAATATTACACTGTCAACCTAGCCAAGTCTCTTATGTACGCTCAGGTTCCTCGCTGGGAAAAAATGGGACCTCGAGAGCTAGGGACATCTCAGTTGATACATTCAGGTCTTAAATCCTCAGATTACTTTGAACTCTAAAGCTACAGAAGAGACCCACTCTAATGCTTTCCTCTTGAGGATGAGAGGTTTCTACCCTTAAAGACTACATGTACTCTCCTTCAAGATCTGTTTCTACCTCTCCTCCTAGTCACCAGCTAAATAGCAAAGTTAAGTCACAATATAAACAACAAGGAAGTGTTGGACTTGCTAAGGAGGAAAGGTAACATACTCCGAAGGTCCTGTAGAACTTAGCTAATACAGACCTTAAAAGCTGAGAGAGCATTTATGAGACTTGATTCTAGAAGTCCTTGATCCAGGGACGGAAACAGAACATAAAGTTGGATAAAGGAGTGTTTAGCAATATTAGTGTAGTCTCCTGGGATACAGGTGTTAACACCCTGGCAAGGACCCCAGGAGAAAGTGTTGACACTCTGCTACAATTGCTCTAAGAAGCTTGGAGAAAGTGACACCTCACTCTCAAGTGACTAGAAATACAAGAACTGCCATGGCAGGCAGTGGAAAAGGGAGTCAAAAGATTTAAGGAAATGAGCATGGGCCAGGCTCGGTGGCTCAACCTGTAAGCCCATGCTTTGGGAGGCCGAGGTGAGTGAATTGCCTGACCCCGCGGGTTCGAGACCCGTCTGGGCAACTTGGTGAGACCTCATCTCTACAATAAATCCAAAATGAGCCGGGCGTGGTAGTGCGCACCTGTAGTTCCAGCTACTTGGAAGGCTGAGGCGGAAGGATCTCTGGAGCCCAGTAGGTCGAGGCTGCGGTAGCTGGGAGTGTGCCACTGCACTCCAGTCTGGGCAACAGAGTGAGACTCCAACTCAAAAAAAAAAAAAAAGAAACGAAAAGAGCATGAGAATGAACAGACTATGTGAGCCTTGCAAACCCACCAGGCAGCTTTGTTCTGCAGGTAGGCCGAAGCAATGAAGGAGAGCTTGGTGAGAGGAACCAGCACTTCTGAGCCATCTGTGGCAGCTGTCCTCCGAAGAGCAGGGCTGGTGATAGGAGGTGTTATAGTACTGGGCTCATTAATAGCAGTAGGAGTTACGGGTACCAAAATAACTGCAGTCAGGTGGTAGTGCTCAGCCATCAGAAGCCAAGTGCCACAAGTATCATAACGAACAGCAAGCTTGGGGAGGTATCCACAGTGTCAGGAGGTGGCATCTCTTGAGGAAAGATGGTTGAACAGCCAGCAAACGTATTGCTCAATCTATTTATATTAGTCAGGGTTTGCCAGAGAGATAGAACCAGTAGGAGATATATAAAATCTCCTATATATAATAGGTTTATTAAGGTAACTGGCTCATGTGATTTTGGAGGCTGAGAAGTCCTATGACCGGCTGTCTACAAGCTTCCTCAGACTAGGGAAGATAATGATATAACTCTCAGTCTGAAACCAAAGGCCTGAGAACCTGCAGAGTTTCAGGGAAAAGTCCTGGAATCTGAAGAAGGCTGGAAGACCTGAAGTTCTGATGTACAAAGGCAGGAGAAGAAAGACATCTGAATTCCAGGAGAGAGAGAGAGAGAGAGAGAAGGAGAGGGGAGGAGAGG